TAACAATAGAAAAGAATAACAGTATATGAAACTTTATTTCCAAACATGAACGTTTTTCACTTAAGTTCATGTGCAAGCTTACACCCGGCTTACATCAATTAAGAGCCTATTAAGATGACCTGCAGTGGAAACCCTTGAGTGGGGTGCATTGCCATTTTTTTTTCGTCGTTTGCTGTGCTACGTTGGAATATTTGCTGTCTTTCCCATGATCAATGAAATCGTGTTGATTTATTCGAGCTATTACGGTCGAGCCTTGCAACTTCATTCCGGCCTCAAGAGTCCTCATGGGTCCGATGAGGATGAGTGAGTGTTGCAACTTCATTCTCACAGAGAAGGTGAATCGCCGAGAAAAGCAGCTGACTCCTGAAGAACGACACAGATCACAAATCGATGTTATCCACCCAGTTTCGGAGAAAGTACAGCACTACACAGCTTTCTGGTGCTTAGATAAGTAACTTTAGGCATTTTAGCTAGTAATAGTTCGAATAAATCAAAACAACTTTAGGCCTCACGGAACGGTATCCTCCCCCTTGGACCCCTGATGCCCAATTTTTTGAGACATGCGCAGAGTACTTTCTTTTGGGAAACTGCTGTTCTTAGGGATACGCGGGCTGAACTCGCTAATGTTTACATTCAAGCTCAGTCAAGCAAATTATTTTAAAATTGCAACAAAATGTCGAGCTGATGGGACGAAAAAGAGTTCACNACAGTTGGATTTCAGTATAATTTTCGACAGATAACAGCTAGGTTTTCAGCTGGAAGACGTAAACAGTTAGTGGTTAGCGATATGCTGCTATTCTGTTGTCCCTGGTTTGAGTACAGGTTCATTAAACTTAAGGCCTCACGGAACGGTATCCTCCTCCTTGGACCACTGATGCCCAATTTTTTGAGACATGCGCAGAGTACGTTTTTTGGGAAACTGCTGTTCTCAGGGATACGCGGGCTCAACTCGCTAATGTTTACATTCAAGCTCACTCAGGCAAATTGTTTTAAAATTGCAACAAATTTCGAGCAGATGGGACGAAACAGAGTTCACGGCAGTCATTTTTCCCGGTCAAATCAACCGTCAGTAAAGAAGAAGAGAGAAATTACCAATGAAAACGTGAAAAAAATAGCTGCAAGCAGTGTCCGAGTAGAATTGAAAAACCTGTCGAGCGAGGAAAAAATCGACAAACTCGAGCGAGTTTACACCTACAGTGTGAAAGTGCCGGCCTGAAGAGGACAATACAAACTCTACGACGAAGTATAGGTAAGTGTCTGCTGAAGTAGTCATCAAGCCGTCTATAAATCTCCTAAAAAGTGTTTCTTAAATTTTCTGAATTACCAGTAAAAGCCGCTTTCCCACAAACACATTAAAAAANGAAGAAGAAAGAAATTACCAATGAAAACGTGAAAAAAAAAAAGCTACAAACAGTGTCCGAGTAGAATTGAAAAACCTGTCGAGCGAGGAAAAAATCGACAAACTTGAGCGATTCTGTAAACGCCTACAGTGTGAAAGTGCCGGCCTGAAGAGGACAATACAAACTCTACGACGAAGTATAGGTAAGTGTCTGCTCAAGTAGTCATCAAGCCGTCTATAAATCTCCTAAAAAGTGTTTCTTAAAGTTTCTGAATTAACACTAAATGCCGCTTTCCCACAAACACATAATTTTAAAAAATTGTGGCGATGTCAATGGTTATGGCCGTCGATAAAACCAGGAACATGGAACATTCCGGAACATCCCGCACATTCCGGAACATCACGAAACATCGAATAATCATAATAATTATGCAAAAAATATGTAAAATTAAATTTTTAGAAATTAAATCAAACAAAAATATATTGATATCAGCTCGGAAAATAAAAACAAAACAAAAATATAACAAATAAAAAAAAAAAAAAAAAA